AGAGTATATGTTTGTGTTGGTAACAGTAGCTAAGACTAGAGTTATCTGGTTTGAACGAACAGGGAGCATTGCCAAGGAAACCAGGCAGGTTAGCTCAGAGAGTGAGAAGTGGGCGGAGCCAAGGAGGAGAAGTTATGTGCGTCTTTGGAAAAGGGGGAGTCCGAGTCTGAGTCTGAGAGTCAGTGTGTGAGAGTAGAGGCTTGAAAAGCCTGGGAGAGAGGTGTGTGTGTGAATAGCTGAAGGTTTTTCAGTCTAGGAGGGCTGAAGGGAGAAACCTGACCCGTTTCTTTAGTTAAAGTAGACTAAAGGAAGCTTGTAAGATCCCTAGTCGAGGAAGGACTAGAGATCAGATATTTGATCAAGGAAAGATCAAATTGGAAGGCTACTCATATTAGGAAACATTGTTTACTAAAGTGCTTCACCTCAGTAAAAGTTAGCCACGAGCTGTGTCATCAGGGAAGAGGACTGTATTACAAACCAAGTTATATTCAAAGTTCTATAAGTTATTTAACAGCCTGCAACCATACGCTTTGTACACAATAAACTTGTTAACTTTTGTTGATCTGCATCTGTAGAGCCAGATCTCATCAGTGATACCTTAAATACCTCACGTTGGTGGCAGTTACCTTAAATTACAAATAACAATTGGCCTCCTCTATAACATATTCTTATCAACAACAGAGGCCTGAGAATAATTCCCTCCTTAATCATCCACACCTGTACAATTTGGTGCGTGCGTCCTGTACAATTGGTGACAGCGGGTGGGATCTTTAAAGATAAAATCCCTATACCCTGTCTATTGTTGGGTTTGCACCTGTACAATTGGTGGCAGCCCTGCACAATTGGCTCGCGACCTCTGCACAGTCCCTCATAACCTTCTTGCAAACAAACTAGTCAAATGTGGGCTAGACAATGCTACTGTGAGATGGGCTGGGAATCTGGGAAGTTCTAATTTGGTGAGACACCAGCCCTCTTTGGCAGAGAAGGCTAAACTACAGCTCACATGATTCCATAACAGCCATGACAGTTGAAGTGGTGAGTTGTTGTAGTTTTTTTGGGTTATATGGCCATGTCCTAGAAGTTAAAGTGGTGTCAAACTGCATTAATTCTACAGTGCACAGTGCAGATCCGCCTTTAGTCAAACTTGAACAGCTGCCTGATTTTTCCAGGGGACAGTTCCAGAACAAAATACTCAAGACATGAAATGAAGCATGAAGTGAGTTACCAGGATCGAGCAGTTTGCCCTGACTCCAAATATTATGTATGTAGAAAAATGAGGGGTGGGAGGAACTATGGAATTTGGAGATGGCCATAAAGAAAAAAAAAATGGGTCCTGGAGCAAATTGTGCTTCAATTTTCACTAGAGCCCACCATGACTAAACTGAGGCTATGGAATCCTAAGACTTGTAGTTTGAAGTACCAGCACTTTTTGGCAGAGGAGGCTTAAGAGTTTGTAAAACTATAACTCCCAGGATCCCATGTCATTGAGCCATGGCTGTCAAAGAGGGGTCAAACTGCATTAAATCTACACTGTAGGTGTACCTATGGTTTGAATCAGAAAGTATTGGGTCTGGACTGATCTTACTGCAATTGGGTATAGATCACAATTTGGAGCTTGTAAGTCTTACAACTCTTCAATGTTTCATTTGCCCTATTAAATACTTTCCCTGCAAAATTACTTCTGCCTTGTTCTTCCTCTTTCTAGCTTTATTTGAAATCGATTTATGGGGTCCTTGGCATTTTGCAGTGGCTCTCTAAGTAGTGCTGAGAAGTATTTAAAAACTTAGAGCAGAAAGGGAGCTCCGTAGGTGTATTTGGCTTTCTGGCAATTGAGGAACTCTCCAGAAGCCCATCATAAATCCATTTTCTCCTCTTACTGTCTTCCATTTCTTTTCACAGTCTCAGCCTTTTTTATTATGAAAACACACTTAGCCAATCTTATATATATATTCATTTTAGAAACCAATTTCACTTGGGGCTGGGAAGTCAGATTGAAAAGGAAAAAAATTACTTGGCATTGAACAGTCTCTCTCCCCCCCCCCTTTTTTTTTTTTAAAGGCAAACAGGAACGACTTAGAAATTATAGAGTGGTGAAATGAATGGTAGCAGTAAAAGATTGCTCATACCTTTCAGAAAATAAAAAGGGTCTACTTATGCCCATTAGTGAAACTCAGGGTATGAATGCTTGCAAAAGGGCATATTTTCAAGTTATTTCAAAATGCTTCCCATTGTACTAACTCCTGTCTCCTGGGCAGAGTTTGGAGAATTTATTATTTTTACAACAACTCACAGAATTCTATAGCTAGTAGTTGTAGTGGCTGGACTACTGGTTACAAATGACCAGTGCGCCATAAAAAGTGGGAAGGATAAGCTTGGTAGAAGCACAGCTTTAAATTACATTGGAGATGATAGCTATAAACACAAGGATGTGAATGCAAGAGGTGGATAGGATGGGACCCACAAAAATTGACAGTAAATTAACAAAGCTTCACATGTCTATACACCAATACACAGAAATGGGAAACAAGATGAACTTGAACTCCTAGTGTACAGAGGTACATTTGACCTATACACCAATACACAGAAATTGGAAACAAGATGAACTTGAACTCCTAGTGTAGAGAGGTACATTTGACCTTATAGGCATATATGAAATTTGATGGGGTGGGACCTATGATTGGGATAATAAGGGTATAAATTATTCAAAAAGAAGAGATGTGGCAGAAAAGAAGGATCCACAGTATTATATGTCAAAGATAAAAATCAGTCATTCAGAAATAGTGATCAAAATGGACCAGTTGGCAGAATTGGGTAAAAAGAAATAGATATATAAAAGAATGCAACATTATGGTAGAAGTTTACTACAAGCCAACAAAACAAGGAGAAGTGCTGGAAGATGCCTTTCAGAAACAAACCTCTGAAATCTCAAAGATGCAAGAATTAGTAGTTATGTTGGACCATAATTTTCCTGATATCTACTAGACTAATTCTGCTAAGCATAGACTATCCAACAAATTCCTGATATGCCTAGCAGATAATTTCTCATTTTAAACAGACAAAAGGAAAGAATAAACGGATTGGCAATCCTAGGCTTGGTTATGTCACTGAGGCTCCTTCTACGCTGCCATATATTCCAGTTTATCGAATCAGATAATCCGAATTATCTGCTTTGAACTGGATTACATGAGTCTAGACTACCATATAATCAAGTTCAAAGCAGATAACATGGATTTGATATGACGGTGTAGAAGGGGCCTGAGTTACACTGGATCCCACCCTTGGATCTCACTCTGATTGTGCCACAGGTACCACTGCATTATAATAATGACTTATGTGGCAATGGTCTTTTACCTTCCATAGGTTGGGTGTATGTACCTTCAAATTGCAAGATATAAGGGATAATCGGAGGGGTTTTTGCCACTTCCTTCCTCTGAAATATAGCCAATGGTACCTGTTATTAATTTCCAATCTCCTATCTATATCCAAGTATTAAAAAGAGCTTACCTTGCTTTGCTTTCAAGATCAGGTAGGATGTGGTGCCTTTAGGGTATTTAGACCTTATAACTCTGTGTTTTAAATAGTCTTGCATTTTCCATTTGAGAATTATTTTGTGTTTTCTTCCACCTCTAGCATCATCCAAGTCTTCAAATCACCATAAATTTCATATAATACCAGGTGCTGTTAGCCTGTGGTATTTGTTGGCAGTCTCCAATAAACTCTTGAAGTCAAACCAAGATTGACCCAGCTTAGTGTTCAAGTCCAGACAGTATGTGAAGCTTTTGTGGTATTTACCTCTATTCCCTCCAATCGATGTGTGTGAGCAGGGGCTGTGTCATCGGCTGCACAGATCCTCAGGGGACGACATCACAATTAGATGGCATCAATCAGAAAGCACCCAATGCCCAAACTGTTTGCTCATCGGTACCCACCTTGTTGTGGTGACTACATGGTCCATAGGATCAAGAAAGAGTCGAGTCATGGATATGGGTGAGGTCTTAAATATTTTCAAATTACCTGAAGAAACAAGACATTGGCTGCATTACGCTCAAACTTTTACAAACCAAAACCAGGACATACATGGCCAAGCAACATCAGAGATGTATTGTCAAAGGCTTTCATGGCTGGAATCACTGGGTTGTTGTAGGTTTTTTTTGGGCTATATGGCCATGTTCTAGAGGCATTCTGTCCTGACGTTTCACCTGCATCTATGGCAAGCATCCTCAGAGATTATGAGGTCTAGACCTCATAACCTCTGAGGATGCTTTTCATAGATGCAGGTGAAACATCAGGACAGAATGCCTCTAGAACATGGCCATATAGCCCAAAAAAAACCTACAATAACCCAACATCAGAGATAACAAACATGAATATGAAAGCTGTGAGATGATGCAGCAGTTTGCTTTTGCCTGAAAGGGAGACAATTTTGCTGAAAGCGTGTCAAACTACATTAATTTTACAGTGTAGATGCACCCCTAGAAAATTCCTAGAGGGGACACATTTTGTTAGATGTGGCAAAGTGAAAACAGAAATGGAGGTCATAATATACAATCAAAACAGATGGTTTATTTACCAATTATGGTGCCTATGTATAATTTTTAATTCGGCTCACAAGATGCTTGTTTTGTGTCTCCCATTTCTCTCTGCTTTTCTTCATTGATTTGTTTTACCATTTTGCTGAATGTAAAAGCCACCTTGGGCAACAAATCTGAAAGGAGAAGCAAATTATTAGGAGTTTGTAGTAATGGCGTCTTTTCAAACTTTGCAACTTCAGTCAAATTTGCGGAGGGGAAGAGTTGTTCTGCACTCTTCTCCTCTGCAGCAAAATGTCTGGGGATGAGTTTGCTTCATCAATAATCCTGGTGCTTTGTGTATATGTGTGTGTGTGCATATGTGTGTGTATGTGGTAAGCGGTCTGGATGGGGGAGTGGGGCCTCCTCACCATTGTCTAGTTGCCCAGCGCCTGGGTTACTATAGAGACGTTTAGTACACTGAATGTGTTTGAGCCTAGAAGGGTAAGCTGGAACGCGTTTGAGGCAGAAGAGATGCAGCCTACCAACTGAAGAGCAGGTTCCATAATGGGAGAAAGGTGAGAAAGGAATATTTAAGGAAATTATGGGACTCCTTTCCCTCGTGTCTCTGTCCCACTTCGCTTTTACTCCTCCCCTGCTCCTCGTTATCCTTTTATTTGGCCAATATGGCTGAAATGAAAGAAAAGCCAAACAGTAAAGCTTCCCTTCTGCTCATCACAGCCCAACAAAAAAAAATGTCTTGGTTTTTAGGCCCGTTGCTAGGATTATTTGGGTTACTGGTTCAGAAAATTATACTGGGTAGACCACATTAGCTCCAGTTTTTTAGCTTTGTTATCATCATTTTCTATAGGTGGGCAAATGATGGCTGATATATGACACATGATTGCTCTGTTATCTCAAAAACTTGACTTGATAGGGAAAAGTCGGTGTCATTTTTGGAATCAGCAAGTCAAACAGTCTAACATTTGAGGCACCAAAATGCATGTTGGCCAGTGTTAGAGAAGGGTGTTCTTTTTGGACTGCAACTTCCAGAATCCCCAGTCTGTAAGGCCACTGTATTGTATTATTACCCTTTTCAAAGCATGCCCATAGTTCCTGAGGAGAATGCAATACTGGCATTCTGCAAACCTACAGTTCCAAAAGGAATACAAACACTGTGAGTCACAAAGGATAATGGAAGGTGGCGATAATTCAGCAGAACCAAGAGCATGCCAAAGAGGACCAAGAGATCTTTGTAGGTTGGTGGTGCTCTTTTCAAGTTCTGCTTGGTGTTGGCTTCCCTATGTAGTAGATCCAGTGGAGGCTAGTGTCTCCAATGTCAGAGAAGCATCAATCTGAAGTTTGGTCCTTACTTTCAAAGAACAATCCAAGATGCCGAAGTTATGTTAGGGATGGGGTTGAGCACCTTAGATATCTCCTTTGGAATTCAAACTAAAACCTAAAGTAGAGCCGTTGCCCCATGGACATTGGCACCACCAGCCTCCACTGCATGGACTTTCTTGGCCATACAGATAAGCTCTTCCTGTTCTCCAACCTGATGTTCCTATCTATCTCTTTTTTTTAACCCACCAGGGAAATAACGATCTTCTCTTGGATGCTAAGAACTTGCTAGCAGAGATTGAACATTCTTTACTGGATTTCCCCAACGGTAGGTAGCATTGAAAGTAAAGGTTTATTTTCATTATCTGTGGGTGAATCTGTCAGTTTTACAGTTTCTGGAGATTGGGAATAGCATACTTTCTTTACTCTAAAGCAATAGACTCCATCATCAAAAGGTTTCTTCTAATGTTCAATCAAAATCTACTCTCCTTTGATGTCAGACCATTAAGCCTGGTTCTATCTTCTGAGGCAGCAAAGAACAAACCTGTCCCCTCCTCTCTGTGATGGTTCTTGAGGTCTTTAAAGAGGATCCTCATATCACTCCCTCAGACTTCTCTTCAACAATCATAGAATGGAGTTGGAAGAGAACACATGGGCCACCCAGTCGAACCCCTTGGCATGCAGGAAAAGCACAATCCCTGACAGATGGCCATTCAACCTCTACTTAAAAGCCTCCAAAGAAGGAGCTTCCACCACACAGAGAGTTCCACTGTTGATCAGCTTGTACAGCCACAAAGTTCTTTCTAATGTTCAGGTGGAATCACCTTTCCTGTAACTTGAACCCATTATTCCTAGTCCGGGAAGATAATGTTTAGTGGACTGCAATTGTATGGATCTGGTTTATGATTTTGAGCTGGTGAATTGTTTTAATTGATTGTTTATAATTGTTTTAACTGTTTAATTGTATTTATTTATTTTATTTATTTATTTAATACATTTATATTCCACCCTTCTCACCCCAAAGGGGACTCAGGGCGGAGCACAGCATATACATGGCAAACATTCAATGCTGGGACACAAATTTGCATACAATACATAAACATTAAAAAACATTTATCAAAATATTAAAACACACAATTTAAAACCGTCCTAGTCACCTGCATCAAATCTAATTGGCCTGGTCATCTTTCTTATTGCCGCTTTATTGCCCTGTCCCAAAAGCTTGGTCCCACAGCCAAGTTTTTATCATCCTTCTAAAGGACAGGAGGAAGGGGGCTGACCTGATCTCACCAGGAAGGGAGTTCCATAGTCAGGGAGCAATCACCAAGAAGGCCCTGTCGCTCATCTCTACCAATCGTGCCTGTGACAATGGTGGGACAGAAAGCAGGGCCTCCCCGAAGGATCTTAATCTTCGTGATGGTTCATAGGGGGAGATGCATTCGGACAGGTAAATTGGGCCGGGGCCGTTTAGGGCTTTATAGGCCAAAGCCAGCACTTTGAATTGTGCTGGAAGCAAACTGGCAGCCAGTGGAGCTGGCGTAACATGGAAGTTGTATGCTCCCTGTATGCTGCCCCAGTTATTAACCTGGCTGCCTCTCTTTGGACTATTTGAAGCTTCCGAGCAGTCTTCAAAGGCAACCCCACATAGAGTGCGCTGCAGTAGTCTATCCTAGATGTAACGAGAGCGTGGACCACTGTGGCAAAGTCTGACTTCCCAAGGTATCTAATTATTTCCTGTTGTAAGCCATCCTGAGTCCCTCTTTGGAGGTTGAGTAGGATGGGATATAAATGCTTGAAATAAATAAACAGTCCTAATTTCAAGGGCAGCAGAAAACAAGCTCCCTCTTCCTTATGACACCCTTTCACATATTTATACATGGCTATCATGTATATAACCCCGGTGGCGCAGTGGGTTAAAGCACTGAGCTGCTGAGCTTGTTGATCGAAAGGTCGCAGGTTCGATTCCGGGGAGCTGCGTGAGCTTCCGCTGTCAGCCCTAGCTTCTGCCAACCTAGCAGTTCGAAAACATGCAAATGTGAGCATGCAGTCATGCTGGCCACATGACCTTGGAGGTGTCTACGGATAACACTGGCTCTTCGGCTTAGAAATGGAGATGAGCACCATACCCCAGAGTCAGACATGACTGGACTTAATGTCAGGGGACTACCTTTATCATGTCTCCTCTCAATCTTCCCTTCTGAACAGACCCAGTTTTCTAAGATGCTCCTCAGAGGGATTCATGGTCTCCAGACCTTTGATTATTTTAGTCACCCTCCTCTGGATGCTTTCCAACTTGTCAATATCTCTTTTGAACTGTGGTGCCCAGAATTGGACACAGTATTCCAAGTAAAGAGGTCTAACCAAAGCAGAATACAAAGGCATCACAACTTCTCTCAATCTAGACACTATATTTCTTTTGATGCAGCCCAAAATCCCATTGGCTATTTAAGCTGTGCATCACACTGTTGGCTCATGTTCAACTTGTTGTCCATGAAGACTCCAAGATCTTTCTCATGTAGACTGTTGTTGAGCCAGGCATTATCCATCCTTTATCTTTGTGTGCTGTCGCACGCTGGGCCTGTGCATAAGACTGTAGACAGGACATAAATTCCGTGTGCCCAACGGGACGCCGGGGCTGCCTCAGATTAAAGGCCTTGGATTTCCTTAAAACACAGTCTCTAGATTGCTTAAAGGTTCAACAAAGTTTTTTATTAATGAAAACAAACAGGTATTTCAAGGCTTTCTTAACAGTCTATTGGCTCTTTCAATCTTGTCCACAGGGAACAGGCACTATCTTCATAACTCTTATACTAACTAATGGGGAAATCCTTAACTTCTAATCTGGGCAGTCTGTACTTGCCTCTGTTGGCGTGGAGCCCCTACACCCAGTACCAACTGCGTCTGGCTTCTGCAAGTGACCCTTACCAAGCAGAGTTTTGTAGACCTCCAGGGGAAAAGGAGTTTCAGTGATGGCTGGCTGAAGTCCCTCAGCAAAGGAGCTGTAAGGCTGTATGATCCTTGGCCAAGCTGTGGGCTGTATAACCCCGGCCAAGCTGTAGAAGACGAAGCTTTCTACAGGAGCTCTTGGTATTATGTCCTGCATGGAAAGCTTCTCTGTGTGGACTGAACTCAAAAAGGCTCCTATTCCTCTAAAAACCCAAAAGGGGGCGGGACCAGGGAACCTAACTATAATTGACAGGTGGCTTGCCCTATGATTGCAGCCAAAAGAAGCCACCTATCTGCAGAGTCCCTGAAACTTAGGACTACAACAAACATTCAATGCAAAGCAAACAAAATTGGAGCTCCTGGTACAGCTGTACCTGCACACTTTGCATTTCATTTTTTCTGCCTAAGCGTCGTATCTTACATTTGTATTGTTGAAATTCATTTTGTTAGTTTTGGCCCAGTTCTCTCATCTGTTCAGGCCATTTTGAATTCTGTTCCTGTTTTCTGAAGTATTGGCTATCCCTCCTAATTTGGTGTCATCTGCAAACTTGATAGCACACCCTCTAAATCTTCATCCAAGTCATTAATAAAGATGTTAAACAATATGGGGCCAGGACCGAACCCTGCAGCACTCCATTAGTCACTTCTTTCCAGGATGAAGTAGAATAATTGGTGAGCACGCTTTGGGTTAACCAGTTACAGATCCACCTAATAGTAGTATTCCCTAGCCCACAAACTGAACATGTTCAGCTCCTTCAGCCTCTTCACATATGATTTGCTCTCCATCTATCTAATAATCCTCTCAGTCCTTTGCTGAACCCACTCCAATTATATCCTTGTTAAAATGAAGGACCCAGAACTGAACACAGTATTCCAAGTGAAGTCTGGCTAGCACAAAATATAATAGGTCTATAATTTCTCTTCACTTAGACAGTATGTTCTATTAATACAGGCTAAAATCATATTCACATTAGGTTGTACAAAGTAGTGGGGAATTAGACTGGATGACCCTTCCAACTCTATGATTCTAAAGTCGTGCTGGGAGGCCTAGAGATTCCTAGAGAGAATATATGTAGTAGAGTCAAGCCGGAAATCTAGATATTTCTTGAAAGATACTTTCTCAATGTATTGTCAAAGGATTTCATGGCTGGAATCATTGGATTGTTGTGTGTTTACCAGGACATGAAGCATTCTCTCCTGCGTTTTGCCTGTATCTATGGTAGGCATCCTCAGAGGTTATGAGGTCTAGGTTGTTGTAGGTTTTTTCGGGCTATATGGCCATGGTCTAGAGGCATTCTCTCCTGACGTTCCGCCTGCATCTATGGCAAGCATCCTCAGAGGTAGTGAGGTCTGTTGGAACTAGGGAAAAGGGTTTATATATCTGTGGAATGACCAGGGTGGGACAAAGGACTCTTGTCTGCTGGAGCTAGGTGTGAAACCATGAAAATGAACAAAATCTGGCTACCAGTATTTAAAAAACTCTAAAATTACAACAGCACAACAACAGAGAGGAAACAAAAGAGGACATCCAATCACCTCTCAACAAAAGTTTGCTCTAGGTACTGTCAGGTCATTATATGCTAATCAAGGTGGTCAGTTGAAACATTCACACCTAGCTCCAGCAGACAAGAGTCCTTTGTCTCACCCTGGTCATTCCACAGATATATAAACCAATTTTCCTAGTTCCAACAGACCTCACTACCTCTGAGGATGCTTGCCATAGATGCAGGCGAAACGTCAGGAGAGAATGCCTCTAGACCATGGCCATATAGCCCAAAAAAACCTACAACAACCCAGTGATTCCAGCCATGAAAGCCTTCGACAATGTTAGAAGATCTGTTGGAAACAAGGAAAATGGGATTTATATATCTGTGTAATATCTAGGGTGGGAGAAAGAACTCTTGTTTGTTGGAGGTAGGGGTGAATGTTTCAATTAGCTACCTTGATTATTATTTTATTTCGGTTACTTCTACCCCGCCTTTCTRACACTAGAGGGGGACTCAGGGTGGCTTACAAAGGCACAATTCGATGCCGGCATCAACATAACAGTAGAATAAAAACAATATAGCAGCAATTAAACAATTAACAATCAGTTTCTGCACTGCAACAATAAAACCAATAAAACCAATAAAACCYATTTCACCTAATTAACGCTCAGCGTTCGCCATCTCATAGTCCAAATTCCAATTCCACTTTGWCAGTCCTGTCAGTRCTAGTRGTCCAATTGTCTTTATCTAGTTGTCAAGATTGCCCGAAGGCCTGGTCRCACAACCARGTTTTTAATTTCCTCCTGAAGGAGAGYAGGGATGRTGATGACCTAATTTCRCCRGGGAGTGAGTTCCATAGGTGAGGGGCCACCACTGWSAAGGCCCTGCTCCTRYT